TCTCCTCACACACAGAGGAAAAGCTGTGGGCAGACACAAAGAAGACATGCCAGTCGGAGAGGACCCACTAAATACCAATGCTGTTCGGCCTTGATCTTGGACTCCAGCCTCTGGAACAGCAAGAAAATCAGTCTGTTGTCTCAGATGCCATCTGTGCGATTCTGTGGTTGCAGCTTAAGCTAACACCAGCATTCAATGCACTGTCAGGGAAAGAGGCAGCGTCTGTGACCTGGGGACCAGGAGTAGCCTTGACTCGGGATGTTTGCAGGATCCATGGGAGAGAGAGTGTTCCACCAAAACGTGAGGAAAGGGATGTTGTGATTTTAATGAGATAACTAATTATCAATCATTGATATGGACAATAAATCCAGTCCCTTGGCCAGCCCTGAGAATCCTCGGGTCCTCTTCAGTTCAAGTCTCCCATATATAGTCATGACCCTTTACCACCTCTTCTATCCACCTCCATATTTTGGTTGTATGATATTTGTTTTTCTAAACTGCATTGAGTTCTTTGTGGGGTGGGGGATAGGGGTGTGTCAAAAGTTTTGTGTTGAAATACCTGTTAAAACCCCATTGGCAATGGAGAGTTTTGCATGTCTTGGAGTCGCGTTCTCAGCATTTCTGACTGCATGGGAGTGGAGGAGAAGCTGGACATGGCGGTGTACACTCAGCATTCCAGGACTCCAGAGTCTGAGGTAGAGGATCTTAACTTGAGGCCAGTCTGGGCGATGAGACTCTGCTTGTCTCCAGGGATGGGTGTAAGGATAGGGGTGGGGGTAAAACTAGAGAATACAGGACAGATATTTTGACTGAGTATGGACAGAGTACAGAATATCCCTGGGGGATTGTTGTCACAACAACAGAACAATTGAATCTCTGCTGTGCGATTCTTCCTCGGCACCACGGCTCTTTTTCCTAAGACATAAGGAAAGGCAGGACAGTTGTTATTCTGTGGGTATCTGTTTTTCGGGTTAGACAGAAGGGCCCTTTTGCCTGTGTTCATGTCAACACGTGTTTGCTCTGAGAGTCTCAAAAGTAGGCACACACACTGTCATGGAAGTGGCAAACTGGCTTCCTCCTTGACCCGTATAAGAAAGATGAATGGTCAGAAAAGGAATCTGAACCGTTCAGGGTTCTTCTCAGTCAGTGGTGGAGGCTGGCTCTTGAGGCTTAGATTCAACCTGTAAGCAGCATCCTGGGGTCAGGCTGTGGTTGAGATGGTGGGTAAGATGTCTCTCAATCCCTCCATCACTACTCTATCAAGACAGCATCTCCTGTGACCTGGAACACTTCAATTGGAAGCCTCCAAATTATTTTTGCTTCCCAAGTTATTTCAAGCTGACCCTCAGTGACATACTTCCACCAGCAAGGTCACATCTCCTAAGCCTACCCCAAAAGCTCCATCAACTGAAGATTAAGTATTCAAATATTTGAGTTTGTGGGGGACATTCTCAGTTAATCCACCTCAATATATGATACAATTTTATTTTTATTCTGAGAGCTGTAAATTTACTTACCATGGCAAGGAGGTTACAGGTCTGAAGAAGGAAGTCTCAGAAAGATGATGTATGATGGTGTCACACAAAAACTCTATGGCACAGTTTCTCACCACCCATCTTGAGTCCCACCAACACTGCCCCAAGATCTCTTCTCATTTTGTACCTGCAACAATGGCCACATTTTGATCAAGGAAGGTGCAGTGTTCTCTTCCATTTCCCTAATAGCCCTACCTTCAAGCATCTCTCGTATTCTTCTCCCAGAACATTCCCTTTCTCCTGCCTTCCAGCCCCCAGCTGCTCCTCTGCCCTCAGTCTCACACCCTTAAGAGCTCATCTTTCTCAAGGATTGGTTCTCTTATCCAGTTATCTGAGGTAAGGCCTTTTTCTAAGCTCCACAGGACATGGGAATTTCTTCTTCCACACCCTCATTACTGTTTGCTGGAATTGTTTCACATCTACCTTCCTTGCTAGTCTATAAGCCCATGTAGAATTTGTCAAAATGATATTCTAAGGGTCCAGTATGATTTCTGGAACATAGTGGGCTAGAAATATGAATTGCATGAATAAATACAAAAACATGCCAAGTACCACGCTGTTCTTCCAAGAGTGTCTAGATGTATGCAGAACCCAGCCCTGCTCAAACGAAAGCATGTATTCTTCTCCCCAGGTGATGAGCACAGTAAGAAGCATGTGGGGAGGGGATGGCGGGAGTAAGAACATGCAAAGGAGGTGATGGGCCTGATGGTGGGAGGCGGGCACGTGTGAGGGGAGGGGCTTACATTCCTTGGTCTTTATCATCTTTGCTTAATTTACTATGAAAAGTCCGACAGTGACTCCCCTTGTGCAAATGTTCTGCAGGTCCACTCCTCCTGCTAGACAATAAATGTCAGTGTCAGAGCTGCCTAGGCACCCTAGGCACGTATAAGAAATACGGACTCCTGGACCCCCTTTGGGTCTCACCAGAGTCAATAGAGTGGGCTTGGCATCTACAAGGTAATATGCTCTTGAGTGGTGGGCTTTGTACTCATCCAAATTATTTTTATTTTTTGCAATACTTAAAAAAAATCACTTGGTGGGGGCAATGGGAAGAGTTGGGGAAAAGAGACGGATTACATCATTTCTTCCTCCATCTCTTCTCCCCAACTCCTCCCACCCTTCCAGGTGAGTTTTTTTTTTTTTCTTAAAGCTGTATTTATTTTTGTTTTATGTGTATGAGCATTTTGCCTGCATGCATGTCAGAGCACCACGTGCATGCAATGCCCCTGGGGCCAGGAGAAGGCATTAGATCCCCTGAAATTGGAGTTGAAAACACTTGTGAGCTGTGGGTAATGGGAACTGAAGCCAGGGCTGTTGGAAGAGCAGAAAGTTCTCTCAACTATTAATCCACCTCCACACAAGGTTTTAGACTCACATCTATGAGGGAATGGGTGAGAGAACAGTTTTCTCATGCATCCTTCAAACCAGGATGAGACACTCGTTAAGTAGTTCTAGGGTGGGTAAATGAATGAGAGGATTACAATACAGAAAAATGTTCTAACTTAGAAGAAGGCAGAGAGGAAGGGGGCTATAGTCCCCATCTGTATTTGGTCTTGAACTTTCCTTGGACAAATGTACCATTTGTAATAGGGCCAATGGGCTCCCCACAAGTTCTTCCTGCCTTCATCATCGACAACACCAGAAACCTGTGTCCACCCCACCTCCGCATCCTAGCTCCCAGATAGGGGTAGATAATTGAGATAAAAATCCATTACAAACTGAGAGATTGGTTGTCAGTTTTAATAGGAGGGGCGAGTCAAACAGTTTAGAGAAACGTATAAAAAGACCTTGTTAACTTCTTGTTGGAACATGTTATGGTTTGTGCATAGCACATACATATTAAAAAAATAGAAGCATCACATTTCACACGCACATGATTGAACAGCTTCTGGATTCCCTACCCCCTGCCCTCAAGCTTGAGGACAGGTCTGCACCAGGACCCAGCCCCAGGTCCCTAACAATGAAACAAAGAGAACCGTGTCTGAGGCTGGGCTTTCAGTAGTTCATGAGGTATACAAACATGGCTCCATGTGGGCTATCTGCATGCTGCCCTAGAGTCAGGGTCTGGTTGGGGGTAGCCACTCTCCTTCTGCTCCGTGAAGAGGCTCCATTCACCCCGATGTAAACACAGCCGGGAGTATTCCTGTTGGTTCTAGCCTTGTCCCAACATTTCTATCTTTGGTGCTTTTTCAGGGAAGTGACATGGGTGTGTGGTTCATTGTGGAGAGGGAAGGTAGGATTAACTCATAGAAGTCACTATGAGGAGGGCTTGTCACCTGTTCTGTGACAAGTGGCTTGGAGTTTTTCTTAAGGGAAAACGTAAGGGTAGAAAGTTGAAGAGCTTTCTGGCTTAGTTCTATACAAAAAAAAAAAAAGGCCAGAAGGGAATCTCAGCAGAGATGCTATGCTGGAGACTTAGGGCCAGCAACCGCATATGGTAACTGTGTTTGCCCAGGGCAACCACAGCTGTAGTGACAAAGGCAAGGGGCGTCATGGACCCTTCAATGTCCGTCCTTCCTCAAAAACTCACATGGAGTGCTAACCTGGAGAATCTGTGGTCGTAGGGCAGGAGAAGGGGCTGGAGACCACATGAGAAGAATATGCCAAACTTCACAGGCTAGGGCTGGGGACAGGATTGGAGTTCAGGCCTGGGCTGTTGATTTAGAGACAAACTTACATGTCTGAAAAAGAAGATAGGTTGTATTGATTCAGATGGCAAGAAAAAAAACACCCATTCTTCTTAAACCATAACCTTGGTTGTGACCAAGGGCTTGGAGCTATGTGTGAAGAGAAGTTGGTCTGCTGGAGGAACTGTGGGATGTGACAGAGCAGAAATCTGAAAGGGTGATGGCAGGGTATTCATTATTAGATCGCCTACTGTCTTCCAAGGGGAGGTTAAAAAATGTATCGGAAGTAGGAAGCAAAGAGGTGGTACAAGGCTGTGGGACACTGAAATGTTTTGCCTACATGTTTGTGCAGTGCCCTTGGAGCCAAGGGAGACAGGGTGTTGCATGTTAGAGAGTTAAAAATGGCTGTGGCCATCTTGTGGGAACTGAACCCAGGTCCTCTGGAAGAGCAACAAGAGCTCTTAACCACTGTCTCTCCAGCCCTGCCCCCATCAGTTTCTAGATGCGCATTGGTGAGAGGATTACAAACAACAGCTTCAAAGAAGGCAGGTGACCAAGTAGGAATAACACTCCACCCTGTACACTGTGCACAGTAGCAGGAGAGAAGGGATCGGCAGCACCTTCCACGGATTGTGTTCTTTTTGCTCCTTAACTTGCCTGTGATTGGGTTGAACTTGGGTGAATTCAGTCAATTCAGGTCAAAGAGAAACCTCCTAAGAGAATTTCTTTACATGAGAAAAAGTTGACATTATCAGCCATGTATTAAACTAATAAAGCAAAATCCTAGGGCCAGCTAGAGACCCCAGCTTCTCATGACTGATGCCAATCATAGGAAATCCTCATGCCAGTATGGCTCCCAGGCAGCTAGCTGAACACCGGGCCTGCTCCACCCCAGGGTCCTGTATCCCCTCCTTCTTACCCCAACCATGGAAGGTGGAAGTGGGCAATTGATAAAACTCCTTCTTAGGATTTGAGCAGCTTCATGAGCCTCAATAAAGAAGCGGGGAAGATCTAGCAATCTTTCCAGAGTACGTTGGCTTAAGGCATGTAGGCTTAAAGGTCTAGAAGGGAAGACAGGAAGGGAGGCAAGGAGGAAGGGAGGCTGGTGGTTGATTGTCTTGAGGCTTAAAACATTTTCTCCTATCCCTCTCGTAGACCACAGCCCCAGCCATCCTGGCCTTATAGTTCCATCAGGAATGAACACACTTGAAATTCCAAGTGACCCCATTTCTGACAAACCCTGTAATGAGGTTGGTGGCACTGGCAAAGATGTCTTAAAGGAGTGTGGCTTTCTCCTTCCCAGCTGACTTGCACTCCAACATCCCAGCATTTAAGATGGACTGATTTCTCTCCCTCTTACACCTGATCCAAGACTCGGTTCTTTCTAGTTCCCATCCAAAGCTTGGGGATGTCCGTGTGGCTGAACTCCTACCATCTGTTAATTTATCTCACCTTGCTCTGGCCTTTCCTCCTCACTTATCATATGTCCAACCCGACACTTTCAGGGCAAAGGAGGAAGCCAGAATGGAGTCTCTCTTTTGCATTGCCAACCCCCATCTTCAGCTCAGAATCCCTGAGTCCAGATCTGTCTATAGAGGGGTGGATCTGCGAATAGAGAGGTATGTTGAAGACAGAGGTATTTGCAACAGATGAGGGATTGTCTTGCAGGTCAGGGCTCCCAAGAGTAGCAGAGGGTGTCAGGTCATTTTGTAACATATGCTGAAAATATTTGTGCACTGATATGGCTCTCTCTGGTATCAGATTTAGGAACATTCCAAGAGTTCAGGAATCTGCAGGCTCTAGGCAGACCACATTTATAGTCCCTTGGGGAACCTTGGTTTAAAATACTCTGAAAGGACAAGAGGCATGAAGGCACTGCTGAGCAAGGAGGCATTTCAGCTTGGCTGCCTGAATCCTGGGACTATCATGCCTCTCCTACTGTAGTGAGGAAGAGGGGCACATGATGGAGGTCACAATACCCATTCTACAGCATCCAGGTGGCATTGTGTATGTAAGATTAGGACAAGTGAGGAGGAAGTGAGGGTATCGGGTGAGAACTTGGGCAAGCTTCCTGGACATAGTTGGAGAGGGATCACCATGGCGAGTCCAAAGCCTCTGGACTTCCTTCATGCCCTAATTTGCACACTGCCCTCCCTTGCCAGGGAGGTTGCCATTATTAGGATCCTTGTCATCCGAGGTTAAAATAAGACCTGGTTCAAAGTGAGGAAACGCTATGGGCAGGCAGCCTGGTGTTGGCCTGTTCTTAGAGCCACACACAGCTCAAAGACCTCAGGCAGAACGGCTCTCTACAGAACATCCAGTCCCTCTGCCTCCACAGATCTCCCAATGGCCACAGACACTGTTCTATCACTTTTTTCCAAGGAGGGGACCCCCTTCTCTCCCAGCTTCCTTAACAGTGCATCATAGTGTTCTCAGGAGCCCAGTGGGCATGGAGTTCAGGGTGCCAGGTTATTTTTTTTTTCTAGTTTGCAATTGGTTGTTACACCCTCACTTCCTCCCTACACATAAAAGACAGCCGCTCGCTGTCACTCAAACAACTGGTGCAGTTAATGTCTCAGGATGGATGGATGATCAGAACAAGGCAGAATGAGGCACACCTCAATCCTGCTGACTTGACAAGTGATGCTCTGGTAGGCAGGTTCTTGCAGTGACAATGTCAGGAGAAAGAAAATTTTGAAATGCCTTTGCTTGAGGATCTATTAAAGACGTATGGGTATGCATGGACACAGGCACACTCCCATCTCAGCCTTTCCTTATGCATGGGACCACATGTCACAAGTGTCATCTGTACTGTCTCTCCTTAGGTGAGGTCAAAGTGCATGATCCACTGGCATTCTGAGATGTCAAGTGCAACCCTTCAGTCATGTGGGTTACATGCCATGCAGTCCAGTGGCCAAGGAAACCAACTCCAGTCTCTTGAGGCACAAGATAAGCCAGACTCAGAAGTCACAGGATACGAGCATAATTGTTCTCTTGTGGAAAATTCCAACAGAAAAGATGCAGCTGTCACTTTGTGAGCCTTCATCCATGGGTCCTTATATCCTGGGGAGGAAGTGAGTGACAGTCATGATTGGGGACACCTTGCTGCCCCGCTTTACCCGGCCATATTTGCTCAGTGCAATGTAGGTCCCTCTGTACAGGTCTGACTCGTAAGCGTTGTAATTGTTTGGGAGGAGGGTTTCTCTGAACTTGCATTCCTCTTGGAAGCTGGGCTGTGAAGATGAACAGACAGCAGAGACCCAGTGATAATTAAGAAGTGCCAAAACACCAGCTGAGCCACGCAGAGGAGGCCCTTCCTCTGTGTTCCATCCCTTCCCTTTGTAAAGACACTGCCACGGGGTTTACACTGCAGAGGGGAGAAACATCAGAGGGTAAAATGGAGGCACTTACAGTTCCTCTCATTTGCCCTCCTACACCAGGAGGAAGCCAAGGCCAGGAACACAGAGGGATGATATTCCGAGCCTGTGGGAGCTTGGAGCAGACCTCCAGACTTCCAGGTAGGGGTGCATTCTACCCAGTTTTCAGGTGAGAATGTGTTCTATGCAGAGCAGAGAGCAGGGAGGGTGACACTGAGCCATGTTAACCCTATCGTGAGAGCAGGACGGAGGCCCAGGGCTCCCCTCTCCCCTTTCTATTTCCCGATAGTGTGAGCTTGGACAGTCTCCTCCACTCAGAGCCTCAGTTCTCCTTCATGCAAATGGTGTGATGCCAGGGAGCTGCTGGGGTAGTGGGTGGAGGAGCAGAGAGACAAATGAGCTCTTGAGTCCTTTCCAGTATTGTCTCTTCCACCCATAGTTCTTCTGTCCAAAGTCTGCAGTCCCTTAAAGAAAAAAGGCTCATTCTCAGTTTTGACTTTGAGCCCAAAAAGTGAGTGGAGCTTCATAGTCTACACTATTCTCTGGGGTCACATGGCATCTGAGATAAAAGCCACTCACTTTTACAGAGAAACAGAACCTGGTTCCCAAGGGAATTAGGCAGAGAGCTATAGAGGAAGCTGCTTTGTGTCTCCCTCTGGCTATCATGGGGGCATAGGCATGCGTGTATATACAAGCATACTAGGAACCACAGTTCTAGTATGGCTCTATGACTTCTCCCTGGCACGAGAGGTGCCCTTGGATTTCTGAAAGAAGTCTGTTGTAGGATATTTTGATCTCACTCTGATACTCCTGAGACTGCCAATAAAGTTTACCTTGAATCAGAGGGTGGAACTAGCTGCTAGCTGACCAGAATTAGCCATAGAGGTTTTGGAGGACCCAGGACATACAGACAGATACAGGAAGTAGTAGGGAGAGGCTTAGAAAGTGTCTCAGCCCTTTTTGGATCAAGGAAGGAGAGAGAACGGAGATCACTGGTTGCTTCTCCACCATTTTTCTGATCAATCAGTTTTTTACCCGGATATCTGACTCCCAAGTTTTTATTGATAGCAGAATACTTAGATAAATGCTTCATCTGGCAGTTCTAGTCTTTGAAAACTAGGAAAATTAAGAAATCCAGGGTAGTAGTTAGTCATCTATAACAATCAAACGTAGTCATGTTAGGTGTGTTTTCAAGTTCAATCATATATATATATATATATATATATATATATATATAGTCTTCAAACACTTCAGAGATCTACAGAATGTGACATTTAAAATGTTTTAATAGCATAAAGCTTTTTATGACAGTGAGACACATCTGTTCCTGACAGCACTAATTTACTTCAAAAAAGGATGATGGTCTTCAAAGACCCTCCATATGGAGTTTGCTTTCATTTATGGCAAAGTTAACCACTGGACAAAGAAACTACTTTTGACTTGACTGATGACAGAATGCTGTCCACATTGGACAAGCAGGACATAAAAGAAAGCAACTGCCAAACTTTGCCAGGACAAGGTAGAACAATCCTTCAAAATTTCTGCTTCACAAAAAAGTCTATCAGATTTTCTAGACCTTTAGGCTGAAGATGGATGCCCAACATTGCAGAGGAACCTAGTCTAGGGTGACTGTCTAGGCAGCCAGCTCTCTTTGTCATTTCTATAGTTTTGGAAGTTGTTTGCCCTGCATTTCCTGTTTACTCAGGTAATATTTTACCCTTCTCCAGTGTATGATGGGGTTGAATACTAGATAGTTATAGTTTTACAGTTTTCCTTGTTATCTAATTAAAAAAAGAAACTTACATAAGAGATGTAAAGTTATAAAGTCGAAAAACATAAGGCTTAAGTTGTTTATCTAAAAAATGTTTTGAGCTCTAAAAAGATATTTTTAGGATGGTAACACAAGTTAGGGTAGAAAGTGAATTAGGTACAAAACTTTGGATTCATCAAGATAGAATAGATAATGGAGCATTTTCTCTGAATTTGCCAAATGCAAACGGACTGGAAATTGTGAATGTAATTCTTACCTGATAATTCCTTATTGTATATAGTTTTACTGTATTAGAGTTAAAACCTTTTCTTTTTATTTAGACAAAAAGGGGAAATGTTGTGGGATATTTTGGTTGCACTCTGACACTCCTGAGACTGCCAATAAAGTATACCTTGAATCAGAGGGTGGAGCTAGCTGCCAGCTGACCAGAATTAGCCATAGAGGTTTTGGAGGACCCAGGACACATAGAGAGACACAGGAAGTAGTAGGGAGAGGCTTAGAAAGTGTCTCAGCCCTTTTTGGATCAAGGAAGGAGAGAGAGCAGAGGTAACTGCTTCTCTGATCAATCAGGTTTTTACCCAGATATCGGACTCCTGAGATTTTGTTGATAAAAGAATAATTATCTAAATGCTTCAGAAGTCTGTACATCCAGCCTCACCAGCAGTGGAGACACATAGGTCTCTCTTCATGTTGCTACAATGGGGTGGTAGAGAACCTGCCATCCTACTCCAGGGCCCTGGGGCAGGTGTCTCCAACAGCACTAAACAGCACCTGAGCCCTGTGGATGTGTGCTTCTTTCCCAGTAGACTCCAACTCCTATCCCCAGACAAGTATCCCAGGGATCAGTGGTCAGATTGCAGGGAGAAAGACATTTGATACTGTAACTGGTAAGGCCCAGAGACTAGGGATTCTCAGTGTTCTTTGGTGTGTAGTGTTATTACTTCCATATAGAGCAATTCACAGTATCTACTGAATTATTTTTGAAAATGGAGATAATTGATGATCAGCAATTCTGTTTCTAGGAACAGATCTTGGCCTTCAATTCCCACATGTGTACAAAAGTTGGCACAACACCTTTTTAATAGCAAGAATCCCAAACAGCCAGTCTCTACTAAGAGGGGAGCAGTTGTCTCAGCTATGATCGAGCTACACTATAGGGTGCTTTAAGCCACAAAAAGAAAACCTTTTGCACAGTGACACTGGGCTGTCCCAGAAACATATTACAAAGTGAAGATGCATAGTTTGAACCCATGTTCTACAGAGGATCTGGGTGCAATTCCCAGCACCCACATGGTAGCTCACAACTGTCTGTAATAACACCCTCTTTTGGCCTCTGAGGGTACCAAGCACACAGGTAGTACACAGACAGACATGGATGCAGGCAAAACATTCACACACATACAATTTAAAAAACCTTGAACTTCTGTAATGTGGCTTTTTAAAGCTACCAGTATGCACACGCATGCACAAACAGGTTATTCATGGAATGGTCCACAAGGAACTGGTCACACAGGTGGTGTCTCAGGAGGAACTCAGAGGCCTGAAGACAATGGTAGGGATGAAATAATTTAAGTTCTGTGGGAATCTTTTGTGCTTTTTCTTCCTTCTTAAATCATTTTCATGTGCTATCTACCCACATAAGTAATTTATTTAAAATGGCAGAGGAGTACAGGGTACAAAATGGGCCAGGAAGTGGGGGGGAGCAGTTTTGATCAGAAGTAGTGGTCTCTCATGGTGATGCGGCCCCCTCCACCCACCTACTTTCCCTCTGTTCTAACTTTGGGTGTCTCCGGAGAGGAACTCGCCCAGCCAGTTTCCAGGAGAATTTATTTCTGATCTGGATAGTGGTTAAAGGAGAGGTTTTTGTGTGTTGTTAGCAAACTGGTGAGAGGAAATCAGGTCTTAGGGTGGAGAGCAGAGCAGAGGAAGGGAGAGGAGCTGAGCCATTGGATTGAGGACTATGGGCATTGCCCACATCCTATTGTCTAGAATGAGTCTGGCTAAGAACCACCATTTTTGAAACATCTGCATCACTGTAAGTGCATATGCAGATGACCGTGTATATCTGTGGGTTCTGTAACCCTAGAGCCAACTGAACATGGATCAAAAATATTTGGGAAAAGATTGCATCTGTATTGGACATGCATAGAATTTTTTTATTCCCTAATAAATTGTTCCCTAAAAAACCAGTACAATATCTATCTATGTAGCCTTTGGGTTGTATTTAAGTGTTAAAAGTAATCAAATGATGAGTCAAAATGTCTAGAAGGATGCACTCAAGTCATATGGAAATATTACAGCATTTTTATGAGGTACTTCTGCACCTAGAGATTTGGGGCTCCATGGGTCTCCTGGAACCAACACCCTGAGGGTATCAATAGAGGCCACACTTCACTTTGCTTTCTGCTCAGTAGATATTTTTGACAGGGACAGTGCTGGAAACGGAACCCGAGGCTCTGTGCTCTAGACCAGCTCCCAGCCACACCGCAGCCACACCGCAGCCACATCTCAGCGGTGCCCATCAGATTTTGATGATCCGAATCTGTCCCGATGCCCCCACTTGTTTGTTTCGTTTCAGGCTGACTGCTTTTGCTTCCATTCTGGCCTTTCTCTCCAACCGATCTTCTACCCCTGGCCTTCCCAGAACTCCTTACAAACCTGAAGTGGGAGCTGAGAGCTCATACTCTTTAGGAGCCTCCTGCCTGCCCCTGCTTCTGCCAGCTCCCCACCCTGCAGGACATTCAGGTGGCTTAGGGGCTTGTGACATAACAGCACCACAATACAGCTCCCTGAACCCACTGATGCCTCTCCAGGCCCCAGGCTGACGGCGTTTTCCACGGGACTGTGGTGGTACTTCGTGCCCCACCCCTGAGCTTTGGGTTCCCATGGCTCAGGAACACTGGTTCTTTGGCTTGGTGAGAAAGGCCCCCCGCCAAGCAAACACCGTGTTAGTAAAAGTAGCTACCATATATTATGACTTGAACAAATGAAAATAATTCCACCAGATCACATTCCCTGGGCCTGCCACTCTGAAGCACCAGCGTGACAATGTCTTGAATTCCATTTAGGCCTAAGCACAGCCAAATCCATTTAAAAAGAAATAACCTTTAACTCCCCCAGTGCAGAAGTGCTGTGCAAAGTGAAGCATCCCTGGGTGTTTGGGGTGAAATATTTCTGGTAAAAAATGGTCCCAAAAGTTGCGGGGAGCGGGGAGCGGTGCTACCACACCCATCCTCTTGTCTTTATGCAGAGCTAAGCCATTTCTGTCTTTAATAATCTTCATCCTGGATGTGCTCTGGACATGTGTCCCTATTACTCCTGGACATATGAGGAGATGGGAGGTTTGCATGTCACTGTGATCGTATTGATGAGAAGTATGTGAACGTGGTATAACCTCTTCAAAGTGCAACACATTTTTCTCAATGGAGAGCCACAGAACCACCTTCAGGAGGAGATCCTTGATGACTTTCTGGATTCTAAGGGGAGTGAGAATGTTGGGGTTCACTCGTATTCTGCTCCAGTATACATCCAAGATGGCAAAAATCCAGGCTGAGAGAAACTCAGTGACTTTGGCCGAAGTGAGTCCAGCAGCTAGAGAGGAGGACTGGGCAGCAATTGGAACACTAGTCCCAGTCTGTCCAGTCAAATGAGCATCTCCTGCAAGCTTTCTATGCATTATCTGTGGAGACTAGAGACGGTTCTGCACACAGCTGCCACTGGTTGAGGGGACAGAGCCAGAGACTGTGGACATCTTGTGTCTCTACCTGCAAAGGGAGGCTAAAGACCAAATGCTTCTCCAGGGCACTGTGGGACAATGTTTATAACCACTCCACAGGATCCCAGATAATCTATGTGCTCAGTACAGGGGCTGCTTATGCCATCTCTAGAGAGAGCCTAACAGGCCTTATGCTCCATACCCCTTCATCTGAAGGGAGGAAGACCACTTCTAGGTAGCTGTTCTTTACCCCTATTCTCCCACCACATGGTGGCTGCCTCTTCCTCCTCCTCTGCCCCCTCCCCCCACCATGAGAAATGCCATTTAGAGGTTACAGCAGCTGATCTACTTGAGGGAGGAGGCAGCTCAGGGGGGCTTAAAGGGAAATAGTGTGAATGAAATCACCACCCAGCAGGAGTCTTCCTGGCTCCTGGGATCAGTTGGCAATTGTTTTTTTAGACTGTGATAACTGCTGCT